CCGCCCCGCCCGCCGCGATCCCAGCATACCGCGCGCCGCCATGGCGGCGGCCGCAGTAGGAGCTTTTTGGCCGCGCAGCCCTTCCGTAGGCAGCATCAGCAGGGCACGCTAAGGGGAGGGGTTCTATCAGCGCTGCTTAAGTGCAAAATAAATTGCTCTGCCCTCACCAAAGATGGCGGAATAGTTAGCCATAACTCGTAGTACACTTCCGGCTACCGTGATTGGCCAGCCGCGATCGCTACGACGTCGTCTTCCCAATCTAATTGGCGAAGGCCCCGGACAAGTTGACCAATTAACCTAAACCAAGCCGCTGTAGAAGGGAGGGAGTTTTTCTATTGGTCGATGGGCGAAGGCGGGAAGGCCAATGAGGAGCGGCRGTGTTTTGGCGCCCGCTTTGAGCCGGGGGTACGTGCCGCGCCCCGCTCGCCGCCGCTCCCGCCGGCGCCATGTTCCTGTCCGACTGCCGCCGCGACTTCTACGACGTGATCGTGAGCCAGGTGCGGGCCGGGCCGCGCCGCCCCGTGCCGAGCCGCCTCCCCGCCAGCCCCGCTTCCCCCCAGACCTCCTTAGCGGGGTCCTCCCGCTCCCACGGGGGGGTCGGCGCCTCGGCCGGGGTCCCTGGGCCGCCGCGGGGGGCGGTTGTGTGGAGCCCCGAGCGCCTTCACGGCGCAGAAATCCGCGGCAGAGCTGCAGCCCCGCCGCGCCCTCCCCTGGTGTTTAGGCAAAACCTACCTTCGGCACTTACCGTGCCTTAAAAATCTTCGTTTTAACCAACCCGTCCCCGAGACTGCTTCTTTTTGTCCTTTTAATTATTGTCATGCTTGCCCGCACATCGCGTTTTGTTCAGTGTCTCCTTTGAGGCTTTTCTTGTGATCTTTGGGGCTACTGCTGTTTGACTGTTCTCATTTTCTCCCATTATTTCTCCCATTTCTCCGGTTAACTTTATTTAGAGCAGGTTTGTGTAGTGAAGTAGCAAAGCTTTCGTTTGACTAAAGGCTTTTGATGGACAGTCTTTCAGTGTTTCTACTTGTGAAACTATGTGGGTAGTACATATATGCTATAGTGCATATGATACATGCTGTACAGTAAATGATATTTGAGTGTGTCAGTTTGTTTCCATCAAGTTCTCCAGCTGTGAGCAAGGTCTCAAAAAAAGCAGCTGGTGTTTTGSATGTGACATCAGCATTTTGTTATCAACAAGGTTTGCTTTCCTGTAAGATGGAGCTGTAAATATTGTTTCAATATTTGCAGTGATCCAGATGAAGTTATTTTAGTCGCACTGCCCCCTCAAAAGCAATCACATTTTTTAAGAAATTCTTTCTTGTAAGAATTCCTTAAGAATTTCTTCCTTTCTATTCTCACAATGGTTTAAGCGCTTCTCTGGGGTTGCATCTTTCCACAAGACTTGAAGTCTTACATAGGGAAACTAGTGCTTGTAGGAACAACGGAAAGTAGTGTATGTAGCACTGTGTTAGAATTGCCACCTGCACTAATATATTAAAGCTGTTGTTATTTTTGCAGCGTGTTCTTCTTCTGGTTGCCTCAGATGTTGATGCATTATGTGCTTGTAAAATACTCCAAGTAAGTCTTTGTTCACTGTCATTGCAGGCTGGCTGTGAAAGAAATGATGTTCTTGAATCCTTTTGTAGGCAGTCTGTGAAAGAAGTGATGCTCCTGGATCCTTTTCTGAATTGGGGAAAGATGACTTAGAACCTTTAAAATAATTTTATCGCTTACGTTTGCTCTATGACTCAKGATGCTGAGTATTGATACTTGGATAAGTTTTAAAGTTCATGTAGACTTGGCATTTGGGATAAAGATCTGCATTAAATAGAATTATAGGGTAGTATAGGATTCTAATAGAGCATGCATAACATTGTTGTAGAGCAGATCCACCTGCTCCTTAACAACTSTGTGTTTCTTTTCAGGCTTTATTTCAATGTGATCATGTACAGTATACACTAGTCCCAGTGTCTGGATGGCAAGAACTTGAAACTGCCTTTCTTGARCATAAAGATCAGGTAAAAATCGTACTGAAAATTGCCTATGTGAGATGCGCTGCAATGTGTAAATGCACTTGCTCCCTTAGAATATGAGGGCTCTTAAACTACTAGTATTGGTTACTAAAAAAAAGCCAACTAGTTTAAATTTAGCAATAACAAAGATGGTACTATTTGATGTCCAACATCCTGGAATTAGGTTCATTTGCATGAAATCTTAAATCTTTTTTTTTATTTTTTATTTTTTATTTTTTTTTCTTCACCTCCTTTGGGGCTTCTAATATTGGGAAACAAATATATTTTTTTGAGAGTAACTGGTGCTTTGGAGGTTTTGTAAGGTGTTTTCAGTATTCCATGTCCATGCCAATTTTACTTTCCCTTCCTCTCTCATCTTTTCTTTGCAGTTTAAATATTTTGTTCTTATTAATTGTGGTGCCAATGTTGACCTGCTGGAGATCTTGCAGCCTGAAGAAGACGTGCTTTTTTTTGTGTGCGACAGCCACAGACCTATCAATGTAGTGAATGTTTACAATGAGACACAGGTAAACYTAGCTTTGTAAAAACATGTGTAATAAATCTGTAGAATGTCCAATGTCATGGTAAATGGCATAATTTTTTTTTGTCTTGCAAAACTGCTTAAAAGTCCAAAAATTATAGGGAAATAGTATGAATGATGCTTGAAGTAGTAAAGTACCTAATAATTTTTAAAAATATATTTATTCGGTAATAAACTATTTGCAATTGTTGTAGTATAGTATAGGATTTACTGTCACAGTTAGAAATTGTCACAAGTCAAACAAGATAAGTTACTCCACAATGYAACATTTATTATCTCTCAACATCTAGCAATGTTTAGAATTTAAGCTATTTGGTATGAATTATCTGACAATATACTTTAACACTCAACAAGCCTAAAAAGTGATAATTCTTTCACTAATACTATAGCGGGAATCTTCTTACTACAGAAGAGTTTTTACTCTTATTCTATCATAAATAATTATGACCCCTATAATAAAGAGCTGTATTTGTGTTATCTTAAGATCAAGTCACAGCCAAAATAATAATAATAACTAAAATGGTCTGAGGTACTCCACAGGTAAATKTGCTTTTTAATTACTGAACAAGCTAATTTATTTAAAATATGCTTTTTATTGTTAGATTAAGCTATTAGTTAAACAAGATGATGATCTTGATGTTCCTGCTTATGACGATATCTTCAGAGATGAAGAGGATGAAGAAGAGGACTCTGGTAATGAAAGTGACGGATCAGAACCTTCAGAGAAGCGCAGACGATTTGAGGAGGTGTGTTTCTTGTTTCTGCAGTTTTGTTGTGAGAAAAAGGAAAATAAATGAATGTATACCCATACTTTATACCAAGATAAATAACGACGCTTGCATTTTGAAATGGATATTCCATTAGATCACAAATTCAAATGTAAGATAACAATTTAACAAAGTTGTGACCAGTTTTCAGTAGTGCTTCACATGCAAGAAATATTTATTTGCACTGCTCATGAGTATTTTCTCCCTTAAACTTTATTGTGTTGTGTATACATATGTATACATACATATATATATATATATATATATATATGCTGTCTTTTTTTATAATTAGCGATCTGAAGTTGTTAGATCTCTGATTATGTTCTCTGGGTTTTTCAACCTAGTGAAGACCCTCATTTACATGCCCACTCCCCTTTTTTATTCTCTTTTAAATTATTACTTGAAAATAGAATCTCACAAATAAAAGTATGGCCAAAATACACTAATTTAGGAGTGCAGTAACAAAAGTGTATTGTGTTAAGGTGCAGAAAAATAATTTAGCGTGTATTATTGTCATGTATTATCTAAATCAACTTGCAGGATGTAATAGAGAGAACAATGAGAAGACGACAAAAGCGAGAATGGGAGGCACGCAGGTATGTTTAAATGTTTTGTGTGCGTGTGTATTTTGTAGATGTCTCTCTCCTTCTAGGGAAATTGTGGTATACCGTTTGAATTACAATGTTCTTTAATTTTAACTTTAATCAAAAAGTAGAAGGGGATATTTACTGTATGTATTCAAATAATACATTTTAAATGGAGCATAGTTGTAAACATTTATGAATTTGAGTAGCAGTATTTACAATGCTTAACTGTTAAACAGATACAGTATTGTCTGTTTTAGGATGAAATTCTTCTGTTTTCTTGCTTTGCAATACAATATTGTCAATAGGTGTGAGCAATCAGATGAGAAACGGGCTTTGAGGAATCGAGAATTTAATGTTTTGTGTCTACATCCCAGAGTAGCTTTCACATTGTTACTAGGATCTAATTCCCTTGCAGAAATAAACTTTCTAGCCCAAGTTTACTTTTTTTCTTATTGTTAATATGAAATTAAATTTTATTTCATATTTCTTGGTTTATATTTAGAATCAGAAAAAAATCACCTCACCACTTTAGTCAAATGTGTTTCTTTTCCTTTTAGACGAGAAATTCTTTTTGATTATGAGCAATATGAATATCATGGGACCTCAGTAAGTATGAACTCATTTGCCATAAAAACACTAGTTACCAAGGTAAAGGTAATTGGAGAGTACCCAATGTTCTAACTATCTTACAGTACTATGCATTTCAATATTACCATCCTCTGTGATAAGCTATGTTTAAAACATATCCAGTACTTGGATTTAAATCCATTTAATGTTTTCTGGTCATGTATATCTGATTTTAACTCTGGAGAATTCTGTATGTTGTAAAACCAGTACTGGTAGATTGGGAGACAGCAACCAACTGCCTTTCAGTGGGCAAAATAATATGTTCAATGGAACATAAATAAACCATAGCTATTAATATTTTTGTTGTTTGGTAGTCTGATAGAGAAAAAGTGGTGATAGTGTCTCTGCTTTAGGTGTTGATAGAAGTACTTTGACTGTATGAGATGGTTTCTCAAGCATCCTGGAAACTTTTTTGCCTTTCTCTATTTTCAGACTGCCTACATATTTCAAACATAACGCTTAGAGGATGCCAAGCTGCTCCTTCTTTTATTTGGCCTTTCATATTATTATTTTTATACTTTGAGTGCTGCTTTGTATATAACACTGAAGCTGCGTAGAATACTGTTCTCTATGTAGTATCTTAGAAAGCAGGACATTGGCACGTTGACAGACTTAAATGTGATTTCTAAAGCTTAGCATACAAGTACTCGGCAAATTGATATGTTTTCTCTTTATTTTGTAATATGAGACTGTTTACTGTCTCTTCTTTTCCCTCTTACAGTCTGCAATGGTGATGTTTGATCTAGCATGGATAATGTCTAAAGACTTGAATGACATGTTGTGGTATGTGTCTGTGATTGTTATTCATAGAAGTGAGAAGCTTAATTCTGTAGTAAAAAATGACGAAGTTTCCCCAAACTATTTGGTTTCAGTTTGAGCTTCTAGTTTGTTGTCTATGTGAATATGCATCTTCATACATACTGCAGTAAGATGCATTCAAATCTACGTAATTAACTATATGAAATGGATAGATTGTAGATGGAGAAAGGGAGAACTCTACTATATGTGTATATCTGCTAGAGAGAGGAAATTGGAATATATAATTTTGTTGTTAATCTCTCCTSTAATGCAGATTGTAAATTGTGTCTCTGCCATGTTCCTTTGCATATGTTACAGGACTAAATATAGAATTTTATATTAGTATATACTGTAATTTTTTTCTTTTTCCAATTTTAGGTGGGCTATTGTTGGCTTAACAGATCAGTGGGTCCAGGATAAAATTACTCAGTAAGAATCTTTCTTTTTTTATTTTAAGAGTAACTATTTCAAATTAATATAAATCAGGAAATGGGCTAAATATTACAATATAAGGTAACTAACAATGACATTTAATTTCTCAATAAATGTAATTTCATACTACTGTATTTCCTCTTTCACTATTTAGAATTTTTGAATTACCTTTATCTTCCACAAAATTATTAAAAAAAAAACACTTTTGATCCTGTAAGAAATTATGTTTAATTGTATTTTAATAAAATATCACTTTGATACAGTGCTGTCAAAGCAAAAAAATATGTGCCTTCTGTACATTTGGTCTTACCTTCTTATTTTACTTTACAAGTTACAAGTTCTTTCCACTTTCATGGAAAGAAATTGAAGTGATAAATTTGATTTTGTTTAAGGATGAAGTATGTGACTGATATTGGAATACTACAGCGTCACGTATCTCGCCATAACCACCGCAACGAGGATGAAGAAAATTCCCTATCAATTGATTGTATGCGAATAGCATTTGAATACGAGTATCCTTACYTGTAATTTCAGACAAACTTGACCTTGTGGAATTAGAGGAGTCACTGTGTGGTGTTAGGTGCCCCTGCAGTTTCTGACTAAATCATTCTGGAGTGTAGAAATGAAGTGTATAAGGGGAATTAAGACTTATCTACTAAATAATGAGTTTTGTTCCTATTTGTAACATCAAAGAATATGTGTATTTATAATTATTTTCCGTAATGCCTGTTAACGTTCAGTCTGCGCCTGGCACTTTACCAGCACTGGTCTCTGTATGAAAGTCTCTGTAATACTTCTTATACCTCTGCTTGCCTCAAACTTTGGTCTGTGCAAGGGCAGAAGAGACTCCAGGAGTTTTTGGCTGATATGGGGTGAGTTATAAAAACAACTGTTCTCAACTAAAGAATCATTTTGTCAACAAATTATGGAAAAATATTCAGATCAGAGCAAAGATTTTTTTTTAAGCTAACAAGCACTCAACTCACTTTTTTAATAYGATCATGGGAATTTGAGTAGGTTGTGGAATCTGAGTTGAGAAGCAGAACTTATGGGTTACTATATGAAGGCAGTTCTTAAACTTTGTGTCCCTGTTGAATAGAAGATTAAGTAACCTATTCCTTCTAAGCATCCTCTCTAYAATGATTTAAAAAAATGCCAGAAAAGCTTACTCAGGCTTAACTTGCTAAATTGTGTAACAATTGGCAGGCACTTTGAGAGGAGGGCAAAATATGTAAGTCTCTCTTGGCATACCCATCTGTGACTTTTTTTTTTCCCTTCTATTTTTAGTTTGCCTTTGAAGCAGGTGAAGCAGAAGTTTAATTCCATGGACATTTCTTTAAAAGAAAATCTTCGTGAAATGATTGAAGAATCTGCCAACAAGTTTGGGTAAATTGATTTAGAAACAAATGGTTTATCTGAAAATATTTTTCAGTTAAGTTAATTTTGTGAATGGTGTGCCTCATCTTGATTAACATATTGTGAAAATGGATAGTAAGTATTAATAATTTATCTTCACTGKTTTTATCTCATTTTGCAGAATGAAGGATCTAAGAGTTCAGACCTTCAGCATTCACTTTGGCTTTAAGAACAAATTCTTAGCAAGTGATATAGTTTATGCAACAACTTCTCTCATGGAGAATATAGAGAAAGAGGGTCCTGAAACTGATAACTTTATTAAAGCTTTGGACAGTCTCTCCAGGTACTGAAAAACTCTCTTCATAATTTTATTTTCAGAATGTGGCTTGTATGTATAAGATACAAGCTATTGAAAAAAAATCAAAGAAAATAATCCTATGAATAGTGTTTAAAGGGCGGGGGGAGTGCGTGTGTGTGTGTGTGTGTGTGTGTAAAAGTTTATGTAAACTTTTATCTTTTTCTGTCTGTGGCAGGAGTAACCTGGACAAACTGCATCAAGGGCTGGACCTAGCCAAAAAGCAGTTGCGGGCCATTCAGCAGACAGTAGCCAGCTGTATTTGTACCAACCTTGTAATTTCTCAAGGGCCTTTTCTCTATTGTTCTCTCATGGAGGTCAGAGTCTTAATTTTTGGCTTTCTTATGTTTGACTAACTATTCTATAACACTGTTTATCTAACTGCTTGACTCCATCAGGAATTCTGAAGGAAATTGTTTTTTTGTAGTCTATTCTCTGATGGGTCAGTGTTGACACCCACTTTGAACTTCTCAAAGGAAGAATTAGTTCTGTTCAAGGGAGAGTTTTATATTGAGTTTAACTGTTGAGATAAAATTTCTGTATTTTTAATGGTTCTCGTTAGTTTTCTTTGAGTGATACCTAACTTCTAATATGCTACCTGATTTTCAGATTAAACAAGTAAATGGAAGAATTTAATTACAGCTGAAATTATTCTTCTTTTCTTAGGGCACACCTGATGTGAAACTATTTTCCAAACCAGTATCTCTGTGCCTGCTTAGTAAATACTTACTCAAGTCCTTTGTTTGTTCTGTAAGTAAACCAGAAAWTTCTAATTTGTAAAATCTCAGCGAGCATATCGCAAAATAGGTATTTGGAAAGTTTAATCTGACAAAGAAAATGGGAACATTGCAGAATTGGTTGCTGTAATCTACAGACTTTTCTATTTAGTTAAATAACAAAAACTCTTGACAAATGCAATTTAAGTTACATTATAAAATATTAGTAACTTAAGATCTTTTTTCACAGAGCACACTTACAATTTATAAAAGGAACTTTTGTAATCCATCCTCATTAGATGCATATGCCAATCCTCGTTTTGAAAGCTAGAGGGCAATGTGAATGAGCAGCCTGGCTTTAGGAACAGAATAACATTTTAACATTGGCCACAAGGCTTCTACCTGAAGACTTCTTTTTTTAAACCTTATTTAATTAAATAACCAGACTTAAGGTTAAAGAATACTATGTTTTTAGATACTCATGCATATAGTTATTTCAAATTATTTTTTCTCTTTATTATAAATTACATCTTGTCTCTCTATTTCCATATTAAAATAGAATGGAAATTGCTGAGGAATTGGAATTTATTAAGGAAATTTAGTTCAAATAAAAAATGGAATAGGATTACGTAAAGAAACCACTTTCTGTTGGTCTCAATTATAGGTGTTTCTTTATGTGAATATTTTTAATACTAGGTTACATATGGACCCGAAACTAATTTGTTATGCGAGTTTCATCTAATGATTTTTTTCTGACTTCCAGACAAAAAACAAGCGCTGTAAATTGCTGCCGCTCGTAATGGCTGCGCCAATGGATGTTGAACAAGGAACTGTGATCATGGTGGGGATTCCTCCTGAGACAGAAAGCTCTGACAAAAAGAAGTAAGGATGCTGTTTAAATGTTCTTCATACGGGTTATGTTTAGTTTTTTCCTGTCTAGAGAAGAAATAATCTTATTTGCGTCTACTTATTAGTGAATATATTGACTTGAACTGTATCATTAAAAACATGTTCTGCATGTGGTCTGCGTGAGACACTTTGACAGATGTTTCTCTACTTCCTCTTAATTATTTTCCCATCCTGACTGAAATTCTACTTTTATCAGAGTCTATATTGTGTTTGATCACATTTTACAGAAAGAAATGTACATAGTTATGCAAAAAGCATTGTGAGATTGAATGTTCAGTTCAAGTTAATTAGGGAGTATAATCTTATTTATTCCTACATGAAGTTCTTTAGACAAGTGACCTGTATACACTCTGAGCATGATGTATGTTGGGAAGGAAAGATCTTTTCTCAGATTATATGTTTGAAAAACATCTAACCTTTTGATTTAATGAACTGTACCTTCTAGTATGTGCTTAACGTGTATTTTTGTTCTGTTCATCCTGTAGCTTTTTTGGGAGAGCATTTGARAAAGCTGCAGAGAGTACCAATTCTAGGACGTTGCACAACCATTTTGATATGTCAAGTGAGTAATTGTATCTTTGGCATCACTGATTTCATTCTTTAAGCAGTCCTTTAGGTGTCAGTGTTACACAGCCTCTACAAAGCATGACTGCATGGCGTATGGATTTGAGTATGTGTTAGATTGAAACATAAGATGTTGACATAAAGATATTTGACCAATGCATTTCAATTAAAATCTGTTATCTGAGACACTTTATTTAGTAGCATCTATGCCTTGTTTGAAATACACTTGGTTTGGATAAGAGATACATTCTTTATAGTCCTTTTGAAAAAGAGATACTTGAACAACAAGGTTTACCTGCCTATGGATGCACAAAAGAGGCAGTTTTTTACTTTAGATAATTCTGTTATGTGTGCATGTTGAGCATAAAAGTTTCTAGTTTAAAAGGTAGTGAGCACTTAGAACTTGAATTTGCTGAGATCTAAGAAATATGCTGATCTAAGAAATCTAAGAAATTGTGTGAAATACACAATGCACTTCATATTTGATTCAAATAGTTTCTCTAATTTTTTACTAATATTGGTTAGCAATGTGAATGAGTATACCTGGACCTCTTATATAATTTTATGCAACTTTTATATATTTTTTCATGTTTTAGTAATTGAGTTGAAAACAGAAGACCGGAGTAAATTTCTGGATGCCCTAATTTCTCTCCTCTCCTAATGGTAAGACGATGTAATTGATGTAGCATTTATAGAATACGATTTAAAAAAAAAATACATGGAAATCCAGTGAATATGTTAATTGAAGACAAAAATTTCTTATAAAGAAAGAGACGGCCTATATATGAATAGATCCATTTTCCCTACCACATCCTAAAAATGTTAATTTATTGGCTTTTTTTTTAATTTTGACTAGAACAGAAGCAGCTGTTTGTCTTGTCACAGAAATGGAAACATTAGCAAATTGTAACTGATGATTCCATTGATTTATTCTTTTAATTATGATAATTTGTTAGAATTTGAATACTTTTTGCCTTGACAGTGTCTTTCTTGGCTTTGAAGTTAATGTAGAGTTTGCATTTTTATTTTGCAGTGTAAATGTCTGTGTTRATAGTCTGTGTTAAGCGTGTAGTTTTTATCTGGTATAAAGATACAGCTGCAAAACAGGATTTATAGTTGTATAAAGCTGTTTGAAAAGAATATGTTAATGTATACTGTATAACTGGTGGGGATGTAAATTGTTTCAGCTGGCTTCAGACATTAATTGCTTCTCAGTGTGAAATATTGTAGCTGAGGGATTGTGTGTGCATGTATTTTTCTGCAGTGATTGGGGTAGGGGGGAAGGGATAATTTGATTTCTTCCAGAGGAGAAGCTGGTCTAGCTAAACACTGAACTGTTCTATAGTATCTGTCCAGACAATCTATAAGATTGTCTGAAAGTATATAAGGTACCTCACGATTCTTTTGTACTTGAATAAAAAGTTGATATTTCATATTCACATGTGAAACTATCTCACAATAGTATCTGTGTAGCRTAGTTATAAAAACAAAGGAGTAAGATGAAAGCTTTGACAGAGTCTGTGAATGTAAAGTCCTAGCCAACTAACAACAACAACAAAGAAATTATTTTCTTTCAATGATTATCAAAGTAATTTCTTCTCTTCTAGCTCAGAAGTTTGAGTCAGTAGATCAATAGCTGTAGTTGTTTGCTCGAGCCTCTATGCTTTCTGAGATACCTGCATCAATTTCATTCATTCTGTACATTCTTGGCTACTGATTGATTCAGCTTGTCTTCTCCCCTTGTTATGCAGTGATGCTATTTGGTGCCTTGTGCTGGAAGCCGAGGATCAGATACGCTGGAAATATCCTGAATATTTTGAGGTTCTTGGTGCTGCAATTGTGATGAAGCATCTTGTTTTATTCTTGATTACTGCTACAGACTTGGGCTGTTGTCTTTGTCCCTTGGGAAGGCAAAAGGATTTTAACCTTAACATGAGAGCACTGAACACTGCTGCTTCCTATAGACCTCATCTTCATAATAGCAAAAGGTGTTAACAGGATTGTTTATAAACTGAATTTGTCTGCCAAACGTTTTTCTAGTAGATATGCTCTTGTGATGTCTAGATATTGGATAATAATCAAAACTAGGTTTTGAAGAAGGTCCTATATTTAGTAATTTTACCTTTCAAATGTTATTTTAAATAATTATTGAATTCTGTTTTTAAGACACTTTYAGAAAAGTGAATTTCTTTGATACTGGAATTCTTTAAGCATTACTAGGTTGAGGTCTTATGGTTTAATTGAAATAATTGTTTTATGGGGGAAGTTTTGAGATTTTAAGGCTTTTAAAATGTGAGTGCTGAGTAGTTTCCAAATACAGAATGAAAGAATCCTATAAATACTATGAAATGATGATGCCATCTTAATAAAATCTTCCAGAAGGGAGAATTCCATTGTCAGCAAAGTATCCTTAGTTAGATGATACTGCATTGTCACCTGTAGCTTCATTTTGGGAATAATTTTCTTGGACACAATCTAAAATATTGTTATAATACTGTAGGCCACATGCACTTGTAGATATTGACGTGAAAGATTGATTCTGTTACCTAGCAAGATTCATTTCGTTTTGGTCATATGAAATAGTACTGCTTGTTAGACTTGCCCTGCTGTCCATTGGGTGGACATGTATATATGTATATTTGGAATTCTTTTTCTTCTTTTGGTGTTTGCTTGAATTCTGTATGACTTTAATATTTTTATGTATCATAATGAATATGTAAACATTTTGTACTGTTGTTGCATCACTGTACAGATTTTTAATACAGATTAACTTAATATCACTTGTGARTTAGATGTAGCCAACAGGAAATTCATTAAACTCTGTATTTTTATTCAATTTTTTTATGCTGTCATTTAATCTGAGAAATATAATTCTGGTACCAAAATACAATGTTCAAAATTTGTGGTTCTTAAATTAACATAAAATTCCATTTCTTTGTTTTGTATGTTTATTAAGTAACATTGGCAATAAATAAGACTCACTTTTGCAAGAGCAGTTTGAGGTTTTGCTGTGTGCAGCATACAGCAATTTTATTGCATTTCTGAGTTCTGAGGTAGATATCCTTACTTTAAACTTCTGGAAATGGAAGGTTCACTTGCTTTTGGCTACAGTTATCGTTGTTGAGCTCTGATTGCAGTGCAAAAGCTTGGAGTCTTATGTGCCACTTAAATGTATTTCTAAGTATTTTGCCTATGTCTTTCAGATGCAAACAGCTGAGTGTTCTAATTAAATTTTCCAAATTTATCTTATTTATAACAAAAATATCAGCATGGATTCCACAGCACTAAATGACTGCCACTTTGATTCAGCCCTGTGCTATATTTAAGGCTTTTGCAGTTCTACCTGTAGATATCAGAGAAAATCATGGACAAGTATGTAGTAAATGCAGTGCTGCCTCAATGTGTGAGACCTTCCGCACACATGCGGAATGAATAATGGGTGCTGAATACAACTGAATTTCCCCTTGCACAGTCTGCCTGTTCAGTGAATGCATGGAAGGTCTTGCACATCCTGAATCTCTGACTCATGGTTCAGCGATTATGTCTCGGGAAATCCTAAACAAACAGTGAAATTCCTTATTTTCTGGCTGTAGAAAATCTTTAGATAGGAGAAAATGTTGGGGAACATGAACTCTAGCTACTTGATTGCTCTCTGTCTTATGTTAAAATTAATACTATGTGTTCAAAACACCTTATGGCTTTGCAGCAGATGGGTGTCTTTGAAAAGTTTTACCATTATCTTCATGACAGGAATGTTGTTTTTTCCTGTTTTATGTTTTTCTTCACTCTCTCATTAGAAGCCCTGTGTGACCCCCTTCCTTTATCTTCTTGACATCTCTTGTTTGCTACTGTGTCCTCTATCCCTCTCCCAGAGCTTTATGTATTTYGATCCCTTCCCATATCAGGGTGTGTTCTGTTTCTACTTCTGCCATTTTTTCCTGCTATTGTRATAAGGAAAGATCTTGTCCAGCGATGAAGAAGGAAGTTTGTGTGTGTGTTTGTTTTTGTTTATTTTGTCGTAGTGACTGCCCTGTTTTGAAAAATGACAAACAGACGTGCGGGTGTTTTAGCATCGGCGCATTGCATTGTACTRGAGAGATGAGAGCTGAGAGTTAATTTTTGTCATGGGATATGTGGGTAATTGCATTACTGGCRGGCTCTTTGATCTCCATGCAAATGTGTAAGCATTTGAAGCTSTGGATATGTTGCACAGAGAATAAGCTTCCCTTGTCTGTCTTTTGAAACCTTAAAGAAAGCACCAATATTTTTCCCAAGATGAAGTGCCAAGAATGGTTTTGCAAATTTTCGAATTGGTCAACTGTTGAACTGGAAAGACCACAATGTCCAAGGTCATCCAAATGTGACCTAAAAGGACAATCAGGAATGCCAAATACAATGTAAAAAGWGATTTCATAAATCTGTTTAGAAGCCTAAACATGCCTTTGACATGCAAAAGTTTTAGTTACTAGCAACATTTTGGAATATGCTAAATAGAGCATATGAAACGAATGTTGGATACTGTGCTGTTAAGATTGTAGATAAATGCATTAAATATTACTTGAGAATCATTGTACAGGAAGATTCAAACTTGTGATGTTCTCGTGGAGCRTATCTGCTCAGTGCGAGCAAGTTGGTGCCTTGAACTGCTGACTGAAACTGTCTGTTGCATAGGCCAGTTAAAAATGCTAAAGCTCATTCTTTTTTTTTTTTTTAACTTAATCTATTACAGTTAAATATTAGATGGAGAATCTATGCCAAGAGTTCTTGTCTTCATGGAGTGATTATTACACCTCTGATTTCTTTGTCCAAGCAGAAATGTGGCCCTGAAAAGTTGTAGCAAAAAAACAGAGCGCTAAGAAATCAGCTTACCCTCTCAGATGTATGGTAACATTCCATCTACCCATGTCTGAGTGCAGATAGAAACATTCCCTAAGGATTATGTTTGAGCTGCAGTAAATCTTTTTTTCCAGAGTGTTTGTTTGCTGTAGTAATAGGTCTCATAAATCAATGCTTTTAACTGTTTTGCCACTAATCTGTTTTAGTGAATGATAACAATAGGAAAAAAATATTTTATTATTTTTGAGACAACAACATAATAAAAATCCTTAAATGCTGAAATGGGTGAGTAAACTGACTAAATTATTTCATTCCTGCAGGGTGACTCATGGCCATATTCTTTCTAGGGTGATACATAATTAAAATTGCACAGTGAGGATCTCATTTGATTGGAATTAAAGTAACTATTTCAGAAGAGTCACAGTGAATTAATATACTTTTGAGCATAAAGATTGCATAGTGGTAAGAATAAATTCTTAACTTCCTTTATGACTTAACACCCTAATGAAAAATGTTGCAACTTTCTTGTACCACTTAAGGTCTAAAACCGGGCATCACGTAGCAGACCAATGGCTTTCCTGCTCGGTATCTTGTCCTCTATAATATCAAAAGCCGGTGCCAGGGAAGGGTGTAGAAACAACATAGAATTCTTCCTTCCATGTACAAGCACAACTATTCTCCCAGCCTTTGTACTTGAGGACATCCTGAATCACACATGATTTCTGTATATTTAGCAAGTGTCAATAGATGTCTGTGAATCTGGATAACCTCTTCTTAAATCATTGTAAAATCCTAGTCCGTGCTATATTTTTAGTGAATGGATCAGAATCCTAGCTGTATGTTGTATGGTCCACATCCCTGACCTGTATGTGCTCATATTTTTATCAATCTTTTCATATTCCCTACAGTCTTCTCTTCAGTCTGAAAAATGCCAACCTTATTTTTGTCTCTCAAAAGCTTTTCCATGTCTTGATTTCTGTTCTTGCTGTTCTTTGAGATTTTTCAGATAGGGGATATCAAAACTGTAGATGGAATTCAATATGCAGATGTATTTACAGGTACATGCCACAGTTTAGTAGTGCTGCCTGTTCTCTGTTCAATAATTTTTTCGTTCACTTTGCCCTCTTGATTGCTGCTATGGCCTGATGTGATGATGATTTCATGGACCTAACTGTTCTAACAAGGGAATCTCATTTCTGACAGGTAATCATTCAAATTTTTTTTTATGTTTTTTTTCCTTCCTTCTCTCATCATTTTACACTTATCACTGCAGAATATTATCTACTTACTGATGGTTATTTTTCAAGGTCAAAGCAAGAATGTAGTTACTCAGCTGGACTGAAAAASTACAAATAAGGAAAAACTATTTCAGCCTCTGCATCAATTATGTATGTGTAAATGTGCGCAGTAAATTTTAGTCATTAGCTAATATTATATGGCAAAAGATACTGGATTGGCAATTCTTGATAAAATTCYTTTGAAAGATGCTTGTGGCCAAGTGGTTTATGTAAGAGAAAGAAAACAGCAAAATATTTGTTTTATTAAATGGAAAATTTGAAGCTCTTGGCTCTTACATACCATTGTTGGCTTCAAGGTGGTACTGAAAGTTCCCCTTGGATCAGATTCAAGGACTAAGGAAAAAGTGCTGCCCAGGGTGGAGCTCTAAATACAGTGCCACCTCTGTGCACGAGCGTTCGAGTTATATGCAATTTATTAGCAGGAAATGTTACAAAACGCCCAGTAGGGAAATAAAACATCGTGAGCTTTTATTTCAGAGACTCCTGTTCTCTTCAATTATTTGTTGTGTTATTTGTCAGTCAGAAAATGACGGACTGGGAGGAGAAGGGCCAAAATCAAACATATTCATTCTGAGCAAGATCGTTTCTTGCTTAGCAGTGCACAGCTTGGACTGACTGAACATTCAAGCATGAGGATCCTGGACTGACAGCCCGTACAAAAACTTTCTCACTCRCTTTTGTTGCTTTAGAAAGAAATTTCTATTTCCTCTGGCCCCTCCAGGAGGTGCTACCACTCCTCAAAGGCAGTGATGTCTGCTGGATACTACTGTAGCACTAATTACATCAACACTTACTCCGTGTCATGTGTATGTAGGGAATATATCAAGATTCCGATAAAAAGGGATGAAGATCAAGAAGTTGTCTGGTAACTTGGTATTGCAAACAGKCATGTAGCTGAATTGCTGCTGCAGGCTATTCATAAGAAACCAAAAGCCCAGAAAACATCCTTAAATCGTAATCACCTTCGAGCTCCCTACAGAGAGCTTCCATATAGGAATTCACTGGCAAGCCTAATCATAGTCTCATGAACTAGAGTAAGATTAGCTGTGTGCAAGTATATGTGAGCCAAATCACAACATAACTCCTTCCATTGCTGGATATATGTCTGTTTTATTACAAGATTGCATTGGGGAGGGGGTTGTACTCTGTGGGTTAACAATGTCTGAAGTCRAAAACCTGGAACTACTTCAAGAACTGCAGACAACTTCTCTGAGTATTCCGAGATGCTAACTAGGTTACCTGCTTTATACGTGCTGCATGTTCTGAGCCTTTTGCTCTTTTTGTTATAACAAGTATTAACTGAAGTGGTGCACTTACACAAAAGTGATATCTTATTAACCAAAGGAGGTTCTGTCTTTTTAAGTGAGTAGAGCAATCACTTGAGTCACGTCTTCTCATTGATACAGCCTGTCTGTTTTTTCAGTCCCCATGGTGCTGGTGTCTCTTTCCACTGTTTAGCTCAGGGGAATTTACTTTCATTTAATCCTTAATTTGCAGCATGCCAGTGGAAAATCGGAGACACCTGCCATTGAATTGGAAAAAATCACAGGAACATTCAGCACTTGGTGCATTTTTTTTTATTTGCTGAAAAAAAAGTCACTGAAGGGCTTCTGAAATAAGGATTCCTCCAATAATTATCMCCCTTCTGGGCTGAAAATCTAGCTGAATCACAATAAGGAACGGACACATG